GATTTAACTAGAACTAATGTCTGGGCTCTGACCAAACTAAATGAGGCTTGAAACAAGGTGCATACTTATTGCTGGAAGATGATCACCCACTAGAACACACTTCCATGAAATGGGGTGACTTCACCATTCCTGATATCTTTAAAAGAAGAGAAGTAATTTTTCTTCAAGACAGACTTTGGTCAGTCACAGGTGATCAGGATTAACATTTAAGTAACATTAAGCAGGTAACAGGCCTGACGTCTAACAAGATGATCTGATGGTACTTCTGGCTTTTATAAGTCTATGGGAAGCAATAAGATGAACAATCTAGTGCAAATATAAAACTGTATTCACCGTTTTCTTTTGATCTTCCACAGTCTAATATGAGCTAACCAGAGCTAAACAATTCAAGAGCTCTCTACAGTGTTATAAAATAGACTTATTAAAGAAGTGCAAGCTGGTAGGACCATTTCACAAGCAACAGTGGGAAAACCATGCCCCAGAAAACTGTCCCTCAATGTTTTGCTTATCATGATGTACTTGCAAACGAGGATCGCAAAGGCAAAGGATGCAAACAACCTAAATATCCCTCCAGGCTTAGCTTTAGCCTCCAAGAGCTTCGCACACCTTCCTCATCTCTCCTAAGACATTCCAGTCTTATTTACTGCAGCCTACTGCTGCTCCTTGCTGAACCTCCTGTTTTGGTTTCACATGTGAAAGTTGTAAAAAGCCTGCTTCAAGCTCGTTGAATCTTGACTTAGGCCTGACTGAGCAAAACACACCTCAGAAAATGTCTAAAAAGACACATTTTGCAAGTGACTACAGTCATTTAAAAAAGCCTATCCATTTGAGGGGCATCCTAGAAGACAAGGTAGACACAAAACCATGTGGGAGATACCCAGCTCCCCACTGACATGCGAACGGCTGAAGCTGGAAGTGCCAGTGATACTCTGTAAGCAAATTGCATCTGACGTGTTTGTAGCTGTAAGAACCATCCCTTGTGAGGTGCAAAGTGAACTGCTCATGAGAAAATCAGTCCAGGCTGACTACAAGATGACCAGCTCTCAGAGTTTCATTCTGAAAGGATAAATGCAAAGTGAAGAAGAGCTGAAGAGCCAGAACCTGTCCATAATCCATGAAAAAAATCTGAGAATCAACCCTGGACAAACCACACTGTTAAAGCTACAACTTTTCAGCAGTACAGAAATAAAAGTGTGAGAACTCCCTTACAGGACAAGGCAGGCATTTCACAGACACCCCTCCCAGCCACTGACACTCCCTCTCCCCTGTATTTTAAAATAGGAATCTGCACAGAGCACTTTTGTCCTCAGCTGGCATGTCATTACAGAAACACTGTGTCCTGCTCCCTCTACCAGGCTGTGCTGATGCTATTTAAAGCTTCAGAGTGACATGACTCAGCCAAGCACACGGTGGATATCTTTATCTACTCATTTGGAAAGTAGAGATTAAATCCTGCACACAAGCCTTGAAACGTGGCTGGAAGCCACTGAGGACGCCCCAGCAGCACCCCACCTTGCTACCAAAACCTTGCCATGTAAGCTCAATACAAGTCCTGTACCCCAGCTGCAAATATAAATTGGGAGAGGAGTGGCTGGAGAGCAGCCCTGCAGAAAGGGATCTGGGGGTGCTGGTCCACAGCAGCTCAATATGAGTCAGCAGCATGCCCTGGCAGCCAAGAGGGCAAACTGCATCCCGGGGTGCATCAAACACAGCGTAACCAGCTGGTCAAGAGAGGGGATTATCCCACTGTATTCAGCGTTGGTGCAGCCTCACCTGGAGCACTGTGTGCAGCTCTGGGCCCTACAATACAAGAAGAATGTGGAGGTCCTTGAACGTGTCCAGAGGAGGACAACAAAGCTGGTGAAAGGGCTAGAAGGCATGGCCTGTGAGGAGCAGCTAAGGGCTTTGGGCTTGTCTAGTTTGGAGAAAGGGAGGCTGACGGGAGACCTCATTGCTCTCTACAGTTTCCTGAGGAGGGGAAGTGGGGAGGGAGGTGCGATAGGATGCATGGGAATGGCTCAAAGCTGCACCAGGGGAAGCTTAGACTGGACACGAGGAAGCATTTCTTTACCGAGAGGGTGGTCAAACACTGGAACAGGCTTCCTAGAGAGGTGGTTGATGCCCCAAGCCTGTCAGTGTTTAACAGGCATTTGGACAATGCCCTTAATAACATGCTTTAACTTGGTCAGCCCTGAACTGATCAGGCTGTTGGACTAGATGATCATTGTAGGTCCCTTCCAACCAAAATATTCTATGCTATGCTATGCTATTCTTTCTGCAATCCAAAGGCCTTTAACACTGAAATGTAACCACAGGTGGGTTTGGTAGGCTACAAATTGTAGATGCTGTACTGTTATGTACACTGAGACACTCAACACATCCTAAGCTTCATCTTCTAACCTAACTTCTAAAGTACTACAGTATTTAAAAAAAAAAAAATAAAATGCATGCATATGCTGTGTAAGCTTTACTTATTTTGACAAATTTGTCACATGCTGTAAAAATAGGATGGTCCTAACTGTATTATTACTTTCAATATTACTTCAGTTAATAAAATAGATACCTATGCAGAATTAGGGGATTTCTACTGTCTGTTAGTAACTGAGAAGTGAATGGTCTGGGAGAAACATAAAATAACTCATTTGGTCTGTAAAGTATTAGTGTGTTTTATGTTATTAATTCAACCTAGAGCATGGGTTATCTGCAATGAACTTAATCCAAACAAGCTTATTCATGTGTTTGGAAAGAAGTACTCTTGCATACTCATATTGATATGACTGTGTGATCCCAGTTTGCATGTTTTTTTTGATCTTGTGAGGCTATTTCTCTACTTCTTTCTTTCTTTCTTTCTTTCTTTCTTTCTTTCTTTCTTTCTTTCTTTCTTTCTTTCTTTCTTTTTTTTTTTTTTTTTTTTTTTTTTTTTTTCCTTTTCCCAATGAGTAAGTAAAGCATCTTAACCCTAGGGAACAAACCACGCAGTGAGAGGCATGCGAGAGAAGCAGGAGGATCTTTGCTATGGGTGCAAGCAAAGCGCTCCTCTGTCTCCTCCCTCCTGTGAACAGTGACAGAAGCCTGGGTTAGACATCCTCTTATCACAGCACATTTGGCCCAAATGGGCAAATTATGCCATGTATGTACATGTCTGTGCTAGGTTTGGTGCAGTCATTCCAAGAGAAATTACAGCTCAGGAGGCACAGATCCTCCTGCCGCAGCTGGACATCCAGAAGGATGTATTTGTTATAGCAAACCTTCCCAGAGCTTCCAGGGATCTCTATAGGTGATTTGCACCTTTCTTGTCTTCTTGTTCACAGCTAGCACAAGGCTCACAGCAACTCTATAGTTAAAATAAATTTTTGCTATTTCAAGCGGGAAAAATAACATTCCTGGAGCAGGATATCCTCTTTAGATGCCCTACAGCAAAACACAAAATCTTCCTTCTTGCACCCTTTCTCCCCCATGTGGGTGACTCCTAATTCTGCAGGTGCCGAGCTCATGCAAGACCCAGCCAACAGCGAAGGGCAGGCAGACCTGATGAACTCAAGGGCCTGTACATCCTTGCTCTTGTTTTGAGGAGGTTTAAAGCCAGCAGAGTGGTGTTGTGTTCAGCTTCTATTTCTAGTTACTACACTACTACCGCTCCAAGAAGCAATGAGGAAGCGCACAGAGGACTTTGGTGGTCAAGCAGTGGCAAACTTCATCAAAACTCTTTCTTTCTCAGTTGATCTGGTATCCATGGTCTGTGTCTCCTCTGTCTGTGTCCAAAGGCTCCCTCGGAGGTGATCTGTGCCCAAAGGATGCCATATGGCATATGCCTTTCTTTCTCTAAACACTTACCTACAAGCTGCCACGGTCCCAGTCACAAACCTGGCCCACAGGCTGCTGCTTGCCTCACCACCACCTCACAAACACAAAACACAAGCCAAGTTAATAAAATATGCTTTTAATGTGGTCTGCCCTGAACACACTAGACTTAAACATTTCAAACTCTTTCTCAAGGCAACTAGCACAATGCTCATTATCATCTTAGCACCTTCTTCTTCATGATTGCCCACCCTCTGCACCATACAATGACTTGTACGCCACTGTTGTAGATGAATTGCAGTGAATTGATGCAGTGAAATTCTTTGGAGAACAAAATTTTCTCTTCAGTCTCTTCTTTGTTCATCTGAGATTGCCATTAGTGGCGTTGAACACAAATCCTTTGAAGCCTGCTGGCTGAACGTAAAGGAGCTTCAGTCTCTCAACAGGCTAAGGGATACAAAAGCATCCTCCCTTGTCTGGCATTATTTCTTTTTCTGCCTTTTCCGTGCTACTGCTGTGTGCAAGGCCTGCATAATGAGGGCTTCATTATTCAGGATGTTGTATTCACCCAGCTGAACCAAACGGTCGTATGCCTTCTCAGTGTACTGAATTGAATATGTTGAATAAGGGGAACAGCAGCCATAGAGATCAACTTTGCCATCTTCCATCTCTGACTCTGAGCGCTTCTGACCTAGGAGGAAAGGGCGACAAATCACTGCTGGGAGATGAGATTTACTCTGGTCATAAGCAAGAAAACTCTTAACAGAGCAGGGAAAGGAGATGTCTCTCCGCAGACAGAGTTCATAATCTAAATTACTCTTTTGGGTTTAAATTTTTTTTAAAACAAATAATTCTTTTTTAAACTGGCAGCTCAGTCCCTGACTCAGGTGGATATCTGCTGCTTCACATGATGAGGGGAGAAAAATGGTGATTATTCCTCTTACATGGGTCTACGCTGCAGTTCTGAGCTGTAGCTGTGGCTCACATAGATACATCAAAGTTACCTGCAAACTAGCAGGTAGGGATTGGAACAGCACAGCCACAGCATCAAATCTGACATGGTAAAAAAAGTAACTTTAAGCAACAGATGAGATGTATTGAAATGAGCCAACAGTGAAGTTCAAGGGTTGGAGTATTAAATATACTCCCTTTAATAGTCTGGCCATGATGTCAACCTTTTTTTAACACGTTTGATAACTTACCTGGTGCTTTGTATTTTTGGAAGGTGTCATTAATTAGTGGGAAAAATAGCAGTATTGGTGCTCCTGGAGTCTCAGCACTGTCAAAGAGGTAACACTCCTTCAGGTTTTTCCTGTCTTCTTCACTCAAGTCCACTCTGGGAAAAAGGATTCCCTGCTCTGAGCAGTACTTGCAGGTGTGGTCCAGAGCCTGGATCAATGAACAGAACAGACTGAGACTTAAAGATGATTTCAGGGCTCAGTATTTCTTGGAGTCAAGTAACAAAGGGAGCCTTTTCCAAGCTGGCTGTGTGAAAGCTCTGAAACCCCTATAGGAGAGAAGGTCATTGGAGAGAAGGTTTATGTTTTCCCTGAGTTCTTAGCACAAAACTGTTGTATCGTACAAGAAAAACAAATGAGAATATGTACAGTATGAAATATCACACTGCAGCATTAAGCTAAAAGTGCTAGCGGTTAAGACTTTTATTAGGAGCAATATAGAAAGCATCTAAGTGTTAAAAACTTCCAGGTATGCAGCTGTTAATGAGACTGCTTCAATTCCTCTCACCTGTATCTGTGATCCTGCACTGTAATTTAAATGCAGGATGATGTCCACCTTTCTCTCCGGTTTTAAAAGTGGCATGACGCTTGTATTGATGAAAAATCCCGTATCTACCAGAGACAGGAATTCCTCTGATTGTGTCAGCTGGTTGGGAAACGTATCTAACACAGTATCTAAAAGGAAAGATTTTTCTTGCTGTAAGTGCAATAGTGCAAAACTGGCTAGCCTGTTTTCCACTCTTACATGATGACCACAGAGCCCTACTGGTTACCGTCTGTGGGGAAGGGACATTCACCATATCCGTTCTCTTCTGCCCTTCCAACTCCAGCCATGTGCAGTTTTGGACCTGCAGTAGCAATGTTCATGAAGGGGGTTTATCTGCCTCCCCACCAAGTGTGTCTTCAAACAGGGAAAGGGAGAACCACCATCGGGACCTGGTGTCCCTGCCTCAGGAGGTGTGTGCCACCAGCAAACCCTTGGCATGGAGCTCAACACCACGCCATGCTACACCCAGGTGTGCCACAACTGATTGATCTAATAGTGATTCAGCCCAAACATGGCCTCTAACCTTGGAGAATGGGTTTAATATCAAATCTGGGTTTTCGTTTTGTTCTGCTTGTTTATTGTCTCCCCAGGCACACAGGTCTTCTCTTACCTTTCCATCTGCAAAAGTGCTTGTTCTCCAGGTAGTCATTATGCATCTGGAAACCCTTTAGGAAGTTGTGCTCCTGGGCAATGCAGAGGCGGTCGGTGAGAGCGCTGCGAAGAGCACTGCCGAGGGGGCCGGGAGGCGTGAACAGGCGAGTCCTCAGTTCGTGCAGCTTCAGCGGTAGGATGGGTTCCTCCTCTGCACAGGGAAAGGCTGTTAAATTCTGCCTGCCTAGAGCAAGGTCATCCCCCAAGATGTCAAGGTAAGTAATAAAAATCAGTGTTTTCTTTATTTAAAAGGCCTAGGATGAAAAGATTTGATGAGCACAAGTGACCGAATGAAAAAGAAAATAAAATGCTACTCTTACCAACCAAATACCATTTCCTTACACAGTCCAGACTTGGCTAAAAACCAAGACCCAGTATCTGTCAGCAACAAAAATCTGCACCAGATGTATGCACGCTTATGGAACAGACTGAATGCAGGCTTTGGAAAAGGATAACTGTTGTACTTGTTTGTATTACAGTAGCTCCTGCTTGATGTAGTCAAAAACTTTTTGCTTTATTAATCATTTACTAATCAATCTTAACATTTCTGAACATTTTACTCATCTGCCAACATCAGTCTTGACCCCTCAGTGAGCACATAGGTTACAGAACTGGAGGTTTTTAAATTATCCAATTATGCTTTGCAGTATGAGATGTTGAATTCAATTCCTTCCAGAAAGGCAATGTGGTCTTTGAAGAAACACTCCAAAAAATGCCAAATATACTGTGCACATCTCACATAGCACAATAGTACGATGGTTTATCTAACATTAACTCTATCTAACAATAAATACACAGTAAGGAAGAAGTATGATAATTTACCTATATTGTCGATTTTGTCCCGGGTCCACCTGTGCCAGAAATCTTCTGATGAATGGGACAAATTCCAGATATATAACACATTCAATGAAAATAAACTACTCCACATGCCTGTAAAAGGAAACAGCTTTCTTTCTTACACAAATATTCACGCACCATGAACTGCAAAACTGTTGTCATGAAATAAAATTCACAAGGAGTATGTTTTTTCTTAGTTTGTTTTAAATGGATGATGTGTCATTTTCATTTGGATGTGGGTTTTTAAGCTTTATTTTGATATCCAGTTTTTGTCTTATGGTACTTAGGGCTGGATATATATTTTAACAAATGGTGAGATTTTTGTGAATTCATATAATTTAAGGAGCCTGGGTTTTCAGAAAAAAACCCAAGTGTGACAAGGATTGTATAAGAAGAAAGGATGAATGTTTGCAATCTGAGAGATTTGATGGGGAATTATATCAATAAGGGTCTAACTACAATGCGATCTAACAGCTTCTGCATTTGTAGGCTTCCCTTTTTGAGAATAGGCCTGATATAACACACTGAGGGATCAGTTTTGGCCATGCATTTCTGAGCTTGAACAATTGTTTTTTGGTTATCCCTTAGGGCACAAGTTCTCACTGTGTTTTGGTGAGAACTTTGGTGGTCCTGTGTTTCAGGACGTGCAGATGTATGCACATCCAGCATAGGCTTATGCTAAAATAGTACAACGTTTCCCTCTCTCCAAGTGGCCAGTTGAAGAGATGTTTGCATCTCAAACCAGTCGAACAAGCTGACAGCTTGTCTCTTTGTCTGGAAAACACGTATCCACGCTCCACCTCAATCAATAGCAAAAACGCTTCTGGATATGACTATGCTGTTTCCTCCCACAGAGTTGCCTGGGCACTGTGGAAACTGGAGCTGGTGATACGTGGCCAAAGCAGACTCTCTGGAGCAGGGGGGACCTGACATGCTCAAATGCACCCCGATGCAGTGGAGAATCAACATGAAGTCTCATGTAAACCGTCTACAGGAAGCGCACTAATTACTGACTACCTGTGAAACAGGCAAGAGGCTTTGGAGTTCACCCTTTTGGAATAGCATGAGCAGAATGGTGGATTCCCAGGGACCTGAATTTTATTATTGGACTGGAAGAGATGTTATATTTTTATTCAAAAATAGCTTTAAAAATGAAAATAACTATCACTTTGAATTTTCTTTTTTACAGTGAACTGAATCCATTAATGTAAGTATTAATTCAGAGATGAGATATTATCCTCTCCAGTGAAACTGCCCTGCCAGTCATGCACCAGCGCTTTATTAGCGTTTAGTCTATATAGCACAAAATTAAAAAAAAGAAAAATAAAATATCATTCAGATGTTTTTAATAGCTTACCTTCTAAGAAGCAGATCCGGGATTCAGGGACCTTCTTCATCAACCGACCCATGAAGAACTCACTGCCAAAGTCCTCAACGCGAACAAACACTCCGTATTTTTGCAATCCCACCTCGTAAGGGGTGAACTCCACCCATTCTGTGAAAAGGAAGACAAAGAAGAGAATGATGTTTTGCTACAGCCCCTTAGCTGTAGATAAAAATGATGTTGCTATAATGGGAATGAAAGGAGTTAAAAATTAAATTAATTTCCACAGTTAACTCTAATCAGACCAATAACAATGAGTTATAAGCATGGTACAACTGAAAACTCATGAATGTGAAAAGTCTTTGGAATATTTTTGAGACTGTTACATAGGCAATCAAACTTTTACCAGACCACAAGGACATTATACAAATACACATCAGCTGAGGTTCTGGTCTTTAAATGAGGGCTTTTTTTAGACTAAAATAGACTGTTCCAGATTTACAAGCTTAAATATTAAGACAAATGACTCTCAGAAGTCTCATAATTACCTTTGAAATCCAGAGTGCTATAGTTGTTCTTGACATTGACTGCAGTATAGATAGGCAGTGGGTTCTGACCACGATCAATGGCCCGTTGTTGATCAGAGAGTCTATGGTTGTCTTTCTGTGATTCCAGAAATACAGTTACACTGAGATGAAAATTAGCACAGGAACATTTTCTCTGCATCTAAGCTTGTAGGGCAGGAAAATTTCTGCCTCTAATGTATAATGCATGCTGGATTTAAATTCTGAAATGTTCCATATTTTTCAAATTTCCTGTAGGTGTTCTGTTACTGAAATATCTGCTGGCATCCAATCTGATGCCAGAATATTGGATGACCCATTAGGATGAAAATGGAAAGAAATGATGAAGAGCAGAAAGCAAATCTTTCGGTATAATCCAGCTTAACACGTTATGATGCAAGTTTATGTAAGACCTCTCAAACATTTCAAAAGTCTGCAGGTCTGTTTGTTAGTACATCTAATGGTCATTAAGGTAATGTCTGCAATTTGCTATTTCTAAATAAAATACTTGCAGAATATGCAAAAAAAAATCTTAAAATAGAATATTTTTTCAAAACATTAATCTTGGATTTTTCCCAGAAAAAACATATCCAAAATCTCACAAGCGAGAATGCTGATTTCCACCATAGTTGGATGTCTAAAAGACTGCCATCAAATGTTTTGGAAACGGTTGTGCATTTGCATACACACAGCCTCATAACAAATTACTTGTCTCAGAACAAACAGGAAAATATCTTCTCCAGAAATTAATTTTCAGAAAATTGTAAGCCACTGTAAATGCTGCTTTATGACATACTGTACCCCATCATGTAACAAAGATTCCAGGACAAGCCCCCAGAGATCTATAAAAGATGTTTTGCGGCCCTCTCTTTTCCGTTGACACAGCTGCTTTTTGTAATACTTCAAATACTTCAAGGAAAGGGAATTTATTTTGCATTTTGTCATATGTTTTCGAGCCTCACTGATTTGCTTGTCGAGATCCTTTTGTGACCAGTCAGCATCTCTGTACAAGTTTGACATGGTCCTAGGAAGAAGAAATATATATTGAAGAGGGGAAAAAACCAAACAAGGTTTGAAGTAGGCAATGGCTACGTTTTATGTTTCTATTTTAATTTCTGGACTTGAAATTAAAGAAAGGTTTCCTGTCTTCAATTCCCTAAGAAACTATCATGTTCCCTTTGAAGTCACAGTCATTATCGCTGTCAAAATGGCTTGAGTAATTTTCCATAAACTGTTCTTAGGAAAACACTTGGTTTTGTACCATTGCAAATCATGTGACTTTCCCCCATGAAAAGACTTTAATCTGTCAATTTTGGAAGAAGATCAAAAAAATAGGACTGCTGACAATGTATTATAGGTAGACTACTGCGTGTCAGCCCCAGCCTACTTCAGCATGCCGGTGTCATCAGGAAGACTCCAGCCAAGAGTTGCCCACAGTCCTACTCACCATGTAGTACCAGACAAGCCAGTCAGGTACGTGGCACAGTCCAAGACATTGAGTTTCTTGAGCCCCCGCAGACTGCCATACAGCGCGGTCAGAGATCTCATCCCTCCTCCCGTAGTCATGATGGCCACCACTGGGGTCTGCACAACACACGAACACAAAGGGCTGGCGTCACACAGTGGACTGCAGCTGACTGTGGCTCTCAGCAGAGACCTCCTACTACACAAAGCCTGACACCACCAAAAGTGCCCAGACACAGACTTCTCTCCAGATGATTTCTACTGCAACATAAGCTACTATTTATTTTATAAAGGAGAACAGAATAAAAGTAATGACAATTTTTCGCTTAGGTAACTGGCACCTGTCTCCAGTGTGTTCGATACAGATGTTTGTTAAAAAAACAAATGAAAATGCATTAGTTCAAACCAAAAGAGACACTAAGAGGGAAAAAAAATCAGTTGTAAAGGCAGGAATTAAAAAGAAATCCCACGGGTCAAAGCGAGGAAGAAGGATTATCAACAAGGATAATAATCATAGGGTAAAGACTGTGGAAGAACCCATTTCTGTATAAGGGATATCTAGCCTGGCTTGCAATGAAGGTGTAGCAGAAGAGTTAAATTCAGGATAGCAACTGCAAAGGAGACAAATGGCAGGGTGAGATTAGGGGTATGGGGCAGTATTGGAAGTGTGCGTAAGTTTACAGATGAGGAAAGACCAGAAGAAAACATAACTGGGAAGAAAAAGAGGTTGTATTATGCTGTTATGCCCACACTGCTAAGCACTCAACATAATTGATGTTTTGAATGTTTGCCCTACAGACCTCATGGTCCAGCAGATCTGCTTCCAGCTGCAGGACCTTCTTCAGAGCAGGGGCAACGTACTTCTGCCTTTTGCACAGAAAGTCTTGCTCCTGCATGCAGAGGTCAAACCCCAAACGCACATCAAGGTGGTCTGGGCTGGAGCAGAGATCAGGGAAAAAGAATATTCCATTTTATTATTGGTAGACAAGTTCAGAGTTTCCAATACAAGGAGATAAACCAGATTGACAGACTGCACTTACAGGAGGAGCCTTTCCTACACTCCCAAGCAGATATACGATGCTGCATGAAAGAATAATAGAAAAAGTGACTGCTAAATTTCTAAGTGGCTACCAAAAGAAAACCTAAGGAAAGACATTCTTGCACATAATTTCCAAGACATCTGCAGTCTGGATTCTCTCATACTTTAGCCTGCAATGAGAGCTGCAGGAAACACTTCTCATATTTGTCTTGAGGTAAGCAGCAAAGTTTACCTACGTCATGACCAACAGTACCAGGGGATTAGCTGTGCTCTTATACAGTGTTAAAGAAAAGATTAAAGACTATGCTGAGCGTAACACCAACTAGCATAACTGGCTTGTAGTATTATTTCTTCTATTTTATGCATATTTTTCATTATTCACGTCTCAGTATGGATTGTCTACATGCATTGGTAATTTTACACATAGTTTTCTTTCAGCTCATGTGAATTCCACATCACTTGGTCACACAACCTACTGTCCTACTGTGAGTGCCTCCACCCCAGTAAAGAGCCAAGGGTGAGACGAGTTCAGCTAAGGACGAGTTAGCCTACAAGAGTGGCCAAGTGTCTTACCAGTCTTCTGCCTTCGCATATAAATCAAATCCTTTATCCTGCAAGGCAAGAATGCAAACGTTGTAAGTGTGACGACGTGCATTAGCACTCCTCCCCTGCAGCCCCACAAGGAATTTTAGCTTGTGCCATCCTAGCAATGCGAGTACAAATCGGGAGCTCTGAATAATCCGGCAACGTATGCGAATTGACTGCAGTGGTTTATTGTCAAGGAAGTTGTTCAGTAATTCCTGATGTTTTCTAGTGAATGTAACGTCTGAAGACAACTGCTGTTCACAGAGGAAAGTAATGATAAAGTATACCTTACCCACCTCTACTAACATAACCTCTCCTAGGCAGCCGGCCAGGCTGCGGCCACACTACTATTCTACACAGCAGCATTTGCTCCTCCTTTTCTGTGGCTTATGCCCCACAACAGCCGTGTTCCTTTCATTCTATATGGATTTTTTTAACCATGAATCTAAAAGTGCTTTGCCAAGCACGGTCAGCACCAGCAAGAGACTGGCGCTACCTCAGTTGAGATGCCCCACTCGTGTGTAAGAAGGGGAAAAGCAGAGCCTCCAAATTTAACATGAAGTAACATCAGGACGAAGTAACAAGATCCCCCATATTCCCACAACCATTCAAACAGAACAAGGCACAACCTGCCTTTATCACCTGAAGACCCACCACCATTTGATTGTGGCATCTTTGTTTGCAGGCTTTCATCATCAGAAAGTATCCTGGTAATCATCAGGGGGATGCAGACTTCCACAGTCAGGTTTCTCAACCTCTCCCACAAAAGAGCAGGCACTCACCTCTGCTAAGATCATGTTTTTGCCACTTGGAAGGGAATGAAGTTCCACATTTGGAGATCCTGTATCGTACACACGGGAGCACTGAAAAAATACAAATATATTCAAGTTTATATCGTATGGAATATTATTCTTTTTCCACAATGCAAATTAATGTTACTGTTATGGTGCATGTTAGTTTACATGCCATTTTTATGTTTTATAAAGTGCAGTTACAACATACAAAGGAGGGAGGTCGTTTCTTCCCTGGTAGCATAACATCCAGCATTGGCTGCTTGTATCTGGCATAGTGGAATTTGGCAGGAGAGGAGGAGCTGAAGACACAATCAGATCCCAGCATAATTTCTTGGGTGCCCTCATAAGAGCCTTGCACTTTAAAGGAGAATTCTTTCTCTAAGGAAGTGACACAAAAGCAGACACAGAGTAAGTTTCTCATCAAAATTGTAAAAAAAGGGTTCTTACAGAGTCTATCAGAAGGCTGATGGATTTCTTGGGATTTTTTGTCATTCTTACATTAAGCCAATTGCCTTCATAATACTAGCACGTCGTGATTTAAAAATAGCTGATGGAAAAATAACCTCACTTGATAAGGACTTCTTCTCTTTTTTCTTCTTCTTCTTCTTCTTCTCAACCACCTGGACTTCCAAGCAGCAGACTTTGCGAGACTGTAAGAGGCATGAACAATAAATTACGTCATGGCAGGGAATTTTCCAGTCTGAGATTATGTTTCCTGGTCTAAGCTCCTACTGATGATGATATGAATGCTATACAGGCAGTGCACTTTGTCCTGAGGAAAACATTTTCTCTCAACCACGACCTCGATTTCAGATGCTGGCTGGAACAGGAGGCTTTGGCAATATGGAAATCGTGAGGAGTGATGTCCAAGGGAGAGTTCACTGCTGCACCAATGTCTTGGACCTAAACCACTTCTATCTGTTGCCTTTGCAACACCACAGGATTTCTAGCATGGGGGATCTCCCTGCTGTTCCAGCTGCAGTCTCTCCAGAAGTGCCATCCACGAGGATGTGTCGTAAGGCAGACGATGAAGTAGGAAATCGCAGTGTTTCAGTGCTGGCTTTGCTCGGTCAAAGGGTATGTTGGCCTGATGGCTGTGAGTCAAGTGAAACAAGTGTGGCAACAGGACAAGAAAGATGACAAAACGTAACACTCACCACTAGTACTCCATTAGTAATGATGGTTTCAGGAGGACCTGAACTATGAAACAGAAAGAAAAATACATTTTTAATAACTTGGTATAATTACAGTGTAATTCATGAGCCACACCCTTCTGATTTTCCTCTTGCTTATTTTTAGCTGCCTATTGGATTTGAAAGAAAAGTCACAGGAGACTTGCGGTACAAGTTTCCTCTCCTACGCTACTCTATCAAGGCACAATTGTCATCCTACTGGCTTGTCCAGTCCTGGAGCTCAGAAAAAAAAATAAAGTGCTGCGGGGCCAAACTGTGTAGTGATTTTATGCTGAGCCCCAAGCTGAAGCTGCAGATAGTTTCACAGAATCCACTTTTTAAAAATTGCGGTTTGTTGGAGGACGGGACAGAAAGGGCTCCAGATCAGAAATCCATTGCGTTATTCCATGTTGTGCTTTGAAGGGAGGTCAACACCCTGTTGATCTCAAAGACAAATGCGTAACAAAACAGCTGTCCCAGTATTCTGGTCTTAAATAGTATTCATTACACTAGGCAAAGAAAAGGGTTTAGGGTGTTCTCTCTGTCTGCCTGAAGTTCACGGGAGGTCATCCTGGCCCGCACCAATTTGTCACACAGCTCATAGCATGGATTCCTCGGGAAACTGTGTTCATCAGTAGCATCATCAAGGAATGATGTACTCTGGACAGTTAGACTAGAATATTTCATGCTCCTGAATTGCTGTTTCTTTTTGCTGCAAATTATGTTGCATTTCACATTTACTCACATATTATCCAATGTAAATCCCACCTCTAGCTCCTCTTGTCTCTGGAAAATAAAGAAGGGAAAATGTTTTTGGCACTGCTCTACTGGCAGTTCTCATAATGCAAGTTCTCACTCTCACAATGTAGGTATGCATGCAGTATTTGTGACTGGCAGAGTATTTAAAATAGAGGCACCTGCCACCTGACATCTGTGTGTCTTGAGCCTCAAGATTCTTTACTGATAGTAAGTTTCTGGATGCCTGTGAAAGCAGTTTTAACAAAGAAATTAGTTGGCTTGCCTGCATCTGCTGGGACACAAGGGACAGACCCAGGCGGAGATGGTGTCTCATACCAAGACTGCCAGCAAAGAGAAAGAGGGTCTGCTGAGGGGAGCAGCCAAACCTTCTGGTGTAAGGAGGGAAAATGGAGACATGCAAAGCAGCTGTGGAAGAGGACAACCGCTTTGTTTGGCAACGCGTTGAGGGCGTTGGGGCATAGGTAAATCTGACATTAGGGCCTGGTCTGTGGGGTGGTGGTGAGGAGTATAATCTCTAGGAGGAAGAAAGCACAAGAGAGAAGAAAACAAAGGTGGGGACAGAAGGAATGATGAACAGAGAAGTGAGATCATGCTGAAGGTTACTTAGTTGCTCAAATTACCTATTGCATTGAAGACAGCAAAATGTTATTAATACAGGACCAAAAAAAAAAATTACGAAGCCTGAAGAGTATGAGCTGTAACTACCGTAGCTGTGCAAACATGGTAATGAAAGGCTTGGATATGGCACCTGTAACCACCCAGACAGTAATGAGCTGGGTTACAGCTAGCCAAAAGTTTCTATTTTACCAAGGGCTAGTGGAAGTCCACACACTGCTCCTCTGGCATTTTGCAGAGAAAGAAATGCTTAAATAAGGCATTTAAAGGTAATGAAATGCAGAGTGAAGTTTGGGTGTGTGTAGATAAGGTGATTAATCAACTCAATGGTGCATGAAAGATGCACAAGAGACTGGAGGGAACTGGAAAAGAAGAGGGACGGACAGAACATACCTGGAGGTGGGAGGTACGACTTTCAGAGCCTCCCTGGACATTCAGAATAGGAATATTTCTTGTTGCCAACCTGAGTGGCATGACTTAGGCACCTTATTTACACACCCATGCCACAGTCCATAATTATCAACTAATCTGGTTGGACACTTGGTTCTGATCACAGAGTCATTACTGCCTAATTACTAGGTTAAGTAACAAGTTATGACAAAAAGCATCATGTACTGGAGTGGACACACTCCGGGATCCTCGAAGGGGACAGGCTTAACCAAGTGACAATTTTGTGAAGGCACCTGAGGTTTGTGAGCCTCTAAGGCCAACACCAAACTCTTCAGTGCGCCTAAGAATCCAGGTGTGAAGAGGCTTTCCCACGTCAGAGTGAAAAACAACTCCCTTTTATGTGGCTGGGCAGTCCATACACAAGAAGGAAAAAAAAGAAAGATTTTGCAAATAATGATTTAGATAGGAAAGCAGATGGACACGGTCTTACCAACCTTTTCCATTTCTTATTTCAGACCTCACCTGTGAATCGCACTTGAAGTGCATGAAGACTTGCTCTCCCAGGGAAAGTTTGGCTATATCAAAGTACACCGTGAAGAGGTGGTCATCTTGAGTAACCACATCTTTATCATACAGCGCCAGTTCCAGCACATTCTGGGAAAGGAAGGGAAGGACTTCAGAAATGTGTCGGGTTTCATATAAAGCAGGAGATCGTGGGGACAGCTGTTTCAGTCAGCTGTTGTGAGGAGTGGAAAGACATAAAGAAAAGGAGCAGGAAGGGTAGGAGGTGGAGGGGAAATCAACTCCATGTAGGCATCTGCCTACAAGGAGGAATGAGAGGAAATCACAGACATCTCAAAGGTCATATTCTACCTGTGGCTGAGAGAGATACTTGTCTTTCACAGCATGGAAAACCATCACAGGGATATATGTTATTCTCACATCTTTCTGCATCTTTCCTTGCCTCTTGAGAAAATTACTTATGTCCCCTTTGCAAAAGGATAAAACCTGGCAGTTTCTCCCTGGGTCACAGTTAACAGGGAAGTCCCAGCTCAGTACCTTGACCTGACTCTGGATCCTGAAGTAGAAGGTTTCATTCCAGACTGGATCTTTGCAATTCTTGATGGTTTGAGTCTGAAATTTGTCACTTGAAGCAGTTGGCAGCCACAGGCTCACGTAGCAATCAGTCTGGCTTACTGTATGTTAAAAAACACAAACACATCTAAAATGAGGATTTGCTCTAGAAGAAGGAATGAATTGAACAACGTGAAGCTTTGTTTTCAATGAGAGAAACAATGATACATGATGGCATATTTGTCCAACATAAACATTACAATTTATGTAATAGAAATAGAGAAAAAAGAAGAGGGATGTGATTCTTCTCTGAATAAATGTGATTAGACATATAATAAATGCATTAAAAACAAAGGATTTTCTCCTCCTTCTGTGTCATCAAGCAATCAGTTTAGCTCAGGATAAAATAATTCGGGACAATCACAGCACCCTGGATCTGCAAGGGTTAAGGAAATAAAGTGATGATAGCTTCTATTTTAGCCAGACGGAACATTAGAAAAAAAGCCCAAAACAAAGAAAAAAATGCTTCTTGATTTCTGCATAGGTAAAGTTATAATCTTCTATTGCATTTCAGTTGCAGGCCATCAGAAATGAACCTACAAAATGTATCAACACCTAACAGGGTTTTATCTGTGAAAGCTGGTACACAGGGAATTGGGGTATGGTAATTTGGATTACTTAGCCTTAAGAAAGCTTTGAGTACAAGCTAAATTTGAGATAAGGCTACTCAATTTTCAGTATTTGCTCTATTATCCCAACAAGTTTGTGTCCTTCATTACACAAATATACTCCAGAGGAAAGCACAGGAGGTCTTTCCACATTTCTTGTTTTCATCAGACTGCAGAGCTTTCCCTGCTCCCTTTGGGGATGCAGGGAAATATGTGCAATAGGTACAGCTGTGACCTTATAGGGTTACTTCTGCACAGAACAGGGATGATGCAAAGAAGAGCAACAGGCTATGTTCATTGCTAGAACCAGCATGCCAGTGAAAGGACTTTCTCCATCCATGGAAGAAATCTAGAAAGCACTTTTTCTTGGAGAAGAACTAGCTAGTACCCCATGAAGGTTTAGGGGTCTGTACTGAGTACTACAGATACTTACAGACATCTGCCTGGTGGATATTTCTTGCTCTTATGACTCTTACAGTCAGTAAGTAACACAGAGATGATTCTATCTGCAGGGGGGGGGGGGGGAAACATACAAAAGACAGGAATGAATGCTAAAGATAGATAGCATATTTAAAAGATAGAAATGATCAAGAGAGAGAAATACCCAAATCATGAACAACTGATTTGAATTTTTCTATGTGACTATGAAATCACCAATATATTTATTTTCCTACAAATATCTAAATCGAGTACTAGACTGAAAGACTTATCTACTTTTGTAGCATGATATGTGGATTTGTATTATAATAGAGAATTTATTTGCTTTCTAACTAAAATCGAGCTGCACAAAGTGGAAAGATTCAGACTCAGTTTGGGAGAAGATTTACTTGTAATATTTCCAAGGTAGAAAATGAAAAGCTGCCTTAGGCTTTTTGCAAGTGATAAAAATTATCATTGTGGGAATCACCTCCTATCCAGTCATTACACATGTTCAGTCTCCTGTGCTACGGGATATGATTTTCTCATATTCCTGCTCTTTTAAATGTACAGTACTCCCCAGAGTTAAATATTGACCTCTAACCCCCATGCCGCTTTTAATGTCAGAGGAAGAGATCGCTGCTTTGCACTTCCACCATGCTACTCACTATACATGTGTTTTTCATGTACAGGGACATAACTGCCCCTCTTGAGCTGAGCTCACCTCTGACATTTTCTTGTGAGGAGTTCCTTTACACTGTTTTGCATAAGAAGTGCAAACATGATGTTTTACGCCTGATAAGAAACTCTTCTTTGTTCCCTTTGGCTTCCCTCTTTCATATTAACCCACATTAAGGCCTCATGCTTGACTTCTTAGCCTCTCATATCGATGTTCTAGTCTCATGTTGGAGCCCAAACATGAGTCCATATCCCTTCTCCTTTTACCATAAAATAAACAAATAAATACCATTAATCTCCATTTCCACCTAAGCTTTTATTTCTACAGTTACAAGGAGGAAAAGTCACAATATATTGGAATATAAATCAATGTGAAAATTTTACTCCAAAAGTTCTAAAATGCTAAACTACGGACAGGTAGTGACACCACCTGCTCACTCCACCTATACTGCAAAATGACTACAAAAAGACCATTGCCAGTCCCGAAGTGGCATTAACATGACACTGTCCTCATTAGTCCCATTGAGAAGGATGTGTCACACAGGTACTGCAGGGAAGGGGAGAAGGACTTTTGCTCTGTCACCTGTCTGACCAAAATAATTTGCTATATACTGTGTTAATAATGTGCTGTGCTTATCATCCATAAAAGCTGAAGCACATCGGTGTTGATAGGCTCGATGGAATACATGTCCATGTGATGTCTCTCATAACATTTAACCTGAGTGTATTAATGCATGCAGCCAGGGCTAACAAATATATGTTGTTGAGACTGGGGTCAGTTAGCAAGTAGGCTAATGGAGAAACAGGTAAAATTAGCCTCCAGGGAACCAAAGCACCCCACCCTAGGAAAAGGCACCAATGACATTTGTGCCATTCAACTGCACAGCACGTGACCAGGTGTGCAAATCAAGGATGTCAAGCCACTGCTAAGAGCCGAAAAGCAGCTGTGGATAAGACCATCAAAGGCTCTTGTATTCGTGTCTAAAACCTAACTCCTAAGGCACAGAAATGAGGCAGGTACTCGTGGAAAGTGTTCAGTAATTGCAGAGCCTGTAACTGGTGCTGCCAGCAGCAGGCTTTGGAGTAGGCACTTTCCTGGAAGGGCTCAACTCATTTTCAGGGATCAGGTTCCCTGGAGCCACCTTCGTGGCTTGTGGTGATCCCAAAGTGCCAGGGAGGGAGTGCGGATTGAACGAAGAACACAGGCATGGGGATGTGCCCTGTCATAACCAGGGAGCTTTGGCTTGGACATCACAGAGATATAAATAACAAACGGCCAAAATCCCATCAGCGGTGTGAGTTTTGCTTAAAAAATTTGAGAGGTTTGGTTTGTTCTTCTGAACCTGACGTGATTCCTGCAGTGTAGAGTGTTGCTTTTTAGGGCATATTTTCTCTTTTTTTGAGTTTTCCATTCAACTAATCAACAGAAAGGGTTGGCTATTCCTTAAACTGTAAGCACAGCGCATGTTGTTCAGCAGCGTAACTCAGTTCAAAACAGAAGGGAGAGTTCCTAATTATTACTAAAAGGCCTCAAACTAGAGAGAACAAGGTCAAAAAGTCTTTTTCAGCACATCTGGTCCTCTCATTTCCTAGAGGTAAGATTTCTTATAACGTGTCTGAAGTGTCCTAGAAAACTATTAGGTTTTTGTAGAGGCCAGAAGAAGGATTAATCCAGGAAATCAGGTGTTGAAAATCCACTTCAAGATTGTGCCTTACTCTTTGAGGGAGTAAGTGGCAAAATTGCACAGCTACTACTACACTGGCAGTAAATTTACCTTTGTGCTTTAGCAAGACATATTAAGCAGAAAGCCTGTTCAAACCCATCCTTCTAAAGATATTAGTCTTGTCAAAACAGGATTCATTTCCCATGTGCCAAGGGTAGAAAACAGCACTAGCACTTCAACATGAAGCAAGACTGAGTAAGCGAAGTGATCAAAACGGTAAGTGGGATGGTGTTTCATGGAGGGAGCTGGATGGGTTATGGTAGCTAATTAGACTGGCAGATGTTGAACCCTGTCTGTTCTCCCCCAGGCCCCACCCAGCAGGAAAGTCTCTTTTACAGTTCTCTCTGGAAATTCTCCTTTGCGGTACCTTTGTAACAGGAATCTGCTGCTCCCCGTCAGGATTCAGCTGCTTAATTCCTTCTCCTAGCCGAGCGGTTTGAGCCATCAGCTCCTGCAACAGGAAGGGACAACGTTACCCCTGGAAAAACCATCCTGTCCCTTAAAAGCAGTCCTCTTGGGGAATCGAGAGCTGCAGAACAGCAGTGAAGGAGATCCCATGGGCAGCGCTGGCCGCGGAGCCTTAGCAGGTACAGGTATTTCCTGCTGCGCCCGGTGCCGCTGCCTGCGCCGTGCTTGCCCCAGCAAGCCTGAGCAGAGGCGTAGCAGCCAGGTAAGGTCCACCCTTTGGGTGACACACCGGGAGGGAAGGCAGCTCCTGGCCCCAGCTGTTAAAGGAACAGCAAACCTGTCTCCTGTAAACACACCCTGTCATTAATGTTTCACCTTGAAGCACATCTCTATGCTAGTTAATACATATTCTAAGGTTGCATATGTCACATTTCTAAATGAAGAGAAACCCCAAACATACAAAATTCTCCCTTTGAAAATAAACTCTTACTTCCCAAGTAGTTTTCCCTTCTTTCTTATGCCTTGCTTTGATTTTTTAAATTTTGATAATGAGTTCTTGAAGCACTGACTTTCTTCCTCCTGTGCATTTATAGTCAATGACAGGTCAAGAAAGTGGTACCATCTTTGCACTAAGTGCCGCATCCCAGACGCCTTGCTTTGCTCTGCACCCTTCTTACCTGAGACAAGACACCATCTTGCTCCATTATGGTTGCTGTCATGTACGCATCCCGTGTTATCTGTGGCAATGCAATTTCACATCTCCCAGCTCCCACAGACACCAATAGTTTAAATGTCTCATATGCAAGTGAGCAACTATTATATAAACTGACTCAGAGCCACACCTCTGCCTGATTTCTTAAACCCAGTTATACCCCTCCCATTTTCTTATGCTAGGAAACTGAATCCTGTGGTCAAATAAGTAGGAAAAAATACCTTTGCCTGGACAATAGCTGGAAGTATGCTGTTTGAGTCACTTTGCCCAATACTGACCAATGGCAGGTTCATAACCAGTAGTAAGAGAAGGATGCCCTTTTATCTGAGCACTGAACTTTCCACTTAGCAAGACCTCAAAGACAACAGAAATACATACTCTGTAATAAGATGCAGCAACAATATATAAATTAGATGTAGGTTGTCTGTGACAGTAAGCAGATAAGATGAAACAGCTAATAAAAAAAAAAAAAGGACAACACTATTGCTCTCAGACTAAACTGGTTCTTGCAAAAAACATTTTAAGGGTTTCTGTACCTCATGTTCTCGCAGTCCCAGGTCCAGGCGTGCAGAACAGACACACTCATGTGGTGGTTTGTATCTACTCAGCCTTGGTTCATCAGGGCTAAGTCTCTCCTCAAATCATTGTATTCTTCTCCCCTTCTTTCCTATGGCTTATTGTTATTATTTTTGTCTGGATGAAGAGTCCTGAAGCAATGACTTTTCTTAGCTTAGCTCCACCCCCCATGAATACTTCTGCACCACTTTCCGGCTCAGACTGACTCTGGCTGTAATCTAGCTGCACTTAAGCACCTGTGTCTGACCCAATGAACCCTGACAGCCAGAGGCAAAACTGAGCGCCTGCCACACACCACCCTCTGCACTGTCCTCAGGACACCTGCAAAGCCACCGCCACAGCAGGACGCCTGCACCTGGCCCTTGCGAGCACCCAGCTGAGCCCTACACCATCAAAATCTGCATGGGTCCCAATTCACTGGAACAGGATTAAAAAGGGCCGTCAAAGACTGTTGCATCTTCAGCAGGTCAAAACAGATAAAACCGCTGGGAGAAGGGAATCTTTTGACTTCCCTGCTCTCACGATATATTGTCTGTAAGCAAAAAGCTACCCATCCCTTGGGGATTCTTGAGCTTACTGGTTAAATATGGTTACCAGCCAGCGCAGATCCCCTTTGCACATTTCCATGCAAAATAATATCAACAGTCATCACAGTCAACTCGTAGAATAAATTTTTGCTATAGGCTATGTTATTTCACAACCCTGTGAAGGGTTGTGTCTACATACGTGGCGTGTTTCCTCCATGTGCCAGCTGCAATTATGTAGCTTGATGAAATGCATTTTTCATTAGGTTACAGACAACCCTCGGCAACATCAGCACCTTTCAGTATAGTTAAAGGCAATGCTTTATTAAAGCATCTCCTTGGAGGGCTAAGCTATAAACCAGACTGTTCACCAGGACTGGGGCTCTGAGACTGTTGCTCCTACAGTGCCAGTGGCCAAAAAGCTCTCATTTTCATGAATAACATTTGCAATCCACATCAGAGACAGCCCTTGCAAGAAGGGGGGACCATGGCTTGCTTTGTACCCCTGCAATCCATCTCTGAGACTTTCCTTTATCCATGATGCTCACAGCAAATATTTGGTATGCTCTTATGCTCTTTGCAGAGATAACAACAGTTTTGTTTTCCTGGAACAAGGAACACACTGTGAACCTGGAGCTTATTACTGAAATACCTGAATATGTGGAGCAAGGCAGATAATTGTCATTTTGCAAACAAGCCTTTATTGTGTGGTATTGTATGCATGAAATATTTGCATGGAAATAACATTTCTTCAGAGCTGGAGGTGGCATGAATTTATGGCCTTTATTATTTCACACCAGGGATTTCAGGTTTAAATGGAGGCAATTCCCAGGGTTATATCCAGAGCACATAGAACTGTATTTCTGATTATGACTAGTGAAACTACCATAGAACAACAACAACACAAACAAACAAACAAACAAAAAAAACCAGCAGAAGTGCATATTCATTCAAACCTAAAGAGTTTTAAATGGTAATATTTATGCCCTGATCTCTAAGCATGCAACATTAGGCTACAGTTGCACAAAAAAGTAAGGCTTGGTTTGACATCATAAATGACAAGAGTGTTGGCAAAAGTCATTGTGAACCAATTTGTAAAGATAATTTGTAATTGTTTCTTGCCAAAATGAAAATCTTCAGAGTGTCATTTTGTACCAAACCAAACATGTTACTTGACTATAAATGGAACCTGCTATTTTCAGGTTGGGTTCCTTGGGCTGACGAGGTAGGCGGTCTATTACAAAGAAGCTATGTTTCAAGACAAAGGTGTTTTGTAAAATATTAACATGAAATGTTTCAACTTACCCAAGCATTTCCCCTGGTTTACTTTAGCCCCAGATTATGACATCTAGTTGATTGATAGATTTTTTTTCACTGAATAGACTCTTTATTCAAAATTTTCCCAGTTGTCATTAAGACACAAATCTTTATTAATAAAGAAGTGTGTTTTCATTTTGACTTGCTCCTGGAATGCAGAGGTTGTTAGGGATTTATAATTTTTACAGCTCACCCTCATCACTTTCAACAGTTCAGAAAAGACACTTTCCATAAAAGGGAAAATGAAGAAAGTTTAAAAATGCAAACCCACAATAAATGTGACTGGTGGTTTTGTGCCAGATCCTATGGAGGGTCTGTTCAGATTGTTTTAAGATGGTCTTAGCTGTTGCAGACTATTAACTCACTCCTGCTTATCTGCACAGTTTGGACAGGCAGAACTAAACAAATAAGCATTTTTGTGGATGAACGTATGTTCTAAACTGTTTAAACAAATTGCATTGAGTAAAACAACAAAGTTCTCATTGCCTAGTGGACGTAAAATATTTTCATTACAAGCACATTTTCTTTTTAATTTAAGAAAGGAAGTTTAATATGATAAGTAATTCAATTGGGAAAAAAAACCCCAGGGTGTTTTATTTTGAAACCTTCAAAATAAGATGTTGACTTTTTTATATACTGTTTCAACATAAAACTATCCAAACTGACTTAAATTCACGGGAAATTTTGATGTGCCCAAATTACACCTTTCACTGGAAAAAAAATTTTTACATGAAAAATCTCATGCCACTTCCTCCTAAGTTGCTCTGTCCCATCTATATATGATTCATTCACAGCCCAGGAGAGCCCAGGAGGTGGATGCGATTCACAAGGCTGGCTGTGTGCACACACTTGTCCCTATTACATTTCCAATCTTTTCAGGACACTTGCAAAGTTGACCCAGGGATCCAATGCCAGCTGCCAGTCATCTCGCAGGTTTTCTTCATTTTCCAGCATTTGGATGCACCTTGTGTTCCACAAAGAAGAATTGTGGGGAGCAGAAATTTATACTCCCTTCTTATGGCCTGGAGATGTGTTGGCTGGGTTGTATTACTGTAGCACTGTGGTGGTAAAAAATTATTTTCCTATATGTCATACATTATAATAAGTTAGGCTTAAAATAACACTATTTTAAAAATCTAGCAAGGATTTTAGGTAAAGTGTGTTCTACAGACAACCTTAATTTAGGGAACAAAAGCATATGTAAAAATTTCCCAGGCAATGTCTTTACCTATAAAGGCCACTTCCTGGGAATGGAAAAAACCCCAACAACCCACTGAGCCACCTGGGGTAGTTTCTTTCTGTAGCTCAGAACGGCCGGTGTTCAAAAAGCTATGTCCTTTCTGCCTCCTAGAGCATGGAAAACTCCTCTGAGAAGATAGGGGCAGTTGGACGGGTGATCAGCACATGTTTTGCCTTCTCCTTTGCATTGCTATCTGCAAGGCCTGCATAATCATCTGTGAGTTGTTCAGGACGTTGTATTCACTGAGGTTCAGCA